GTATATTGGAGTGGGGGGGAGGGAAGGTGTATATCGTGGGGGGCGGTGTATGTGAAGAGGTGTATATCGGGATATACAGCATGTGTTCTGTGCCGGGGTCAGATGTGAAGGGTTACCCCCTGGGTGTGTTCTGTGTTGTATTGTTCTGGGGTCAGAGTTGAAGGGTTACACCAGGATGTGTTCTGTGCTGTCTGGGGTCAGAGGTGAAGGGATACACCAGGATGTGTTGTCCTGGGGTCAGAGGTGAAGGGATACACCAGGATGTGTTCCGTGTTGTCCTGGGGTCAGAGGTGAAGGGTTACACCAGGGTGTGTTCTGTGGCCCGGTCTCATCTCTCCTCCTCTCTTTGCAGTCTGTGTCTCATTTCTGAGCCGCTTCTACCAATCCCTGAAGGACAACGACGTGGAGTTCACACCGGCCGGCGTGGAGAAGGAGCTGGTGAAGACCTGCAATGAAGCCAGAGGCAAAGAGAACCGATTTGTACGTATGGTCACATGACGCTCATGCTGTGTTATCCGTATGGACTGCGCACAGTCCACCTTCCAGACCACGGGGGAGGGGGGGGGGCCAAACTCAGCACCCCCCGGCTGTGCTGCAACTACAAATCCCATGAGGCAGTGCAAGGCTCTGACAGACATGATGGGATTTGTAGTGTCACTGCAGTTGGAGGGCTCGAGTTGACCTACCATGTGACATCTTTCCTTTGACTGTGGCTCCGCCCCCACACAGCCATGTCATCCAGTCCTGTGATGACTCTGAATGAGACTACGTTTCCCATCTGCCACTGCAGCAGAGGGACTATGCAGAGCAGGCCGGTGATCCCCCCCACTGTGTCACATGTACAGCTGCCCCCTATCACAGCGGCTGTGTCTGTACAGACCGGAGGGAACATTGATGGAGACTGAGCACTGTGCCTGCAACACCCTGATCGTGTGATCACGGGTGCAATGCTGTGCAGGCAATAAAAGTAGTGATCCTGTCCGGCCTGACAACACTGATAAGCTGCTGTTCATATGGCTGGAGATGGGGGGGTCCGGGATGGATTGTTAGGTCCTCCCATAGGCTGAGGTGGAGAATGAGTGACACGCGTGTGTGCGTGCGACGGGCCGCGTACAGAGGGTGACGCTGTGTTCTCTTCACAGACAAGCAGATAGACCTGAGCACGGTGGATCTGAAGAAGCTGCGGGTGAAGGAGCTGAAGAAGATCCTAGACGATTGGGGCGAGACCTGCAAAGGCTGCGCCGAGAAATCCGACTTCATCCGCAAGATCAACGAGCTGATGCCCAGATACGCCCCCAACGCCGCCCAGGCGCGGACTGACCTCTGACCTCCCCCGAGGGGGCCACCACGCAGACTCCATACACTGACCGCGGGGGAAAGCCGGCAGACTGACCCCGGTCTACTTTACTTTCCACGACATAGATTTGGTTTAATCCTTCGGGAGGATGATCGGCCGGCGGGAGGATGATCGGCCGGCCGGCGGGAGGATGAGCGCTTCATGGAAGCCGCAGAACTCTCTCCTGTAAGTTATTGCTCCTGGCGGCGTCTCGCCGGGTCTGCCGCAGCGGTGAAATATTATTTTTTTTTTTAGTTTGTTTTTCGGAGCGGGGGATTTATTTCTATGACGATGAGAGAGAGAGAGAGAGACCCCTCTGGGTGGCTGCGCTGACCATGTCCGCGTCTCTTCTGCACGTATCGCGTCTCTGTACCTCGTGCGTGAGGTGACAACGTTACTGAGACAACCAGAGCGGCACGCGGCAAAAAAAAAAGCAGCGGTTAAATATTATTTTTTTTTTTAGTTTGTTTTTCGGAGCGGGGGATTTATTTCTATGACGATGAGAGAGAGAGAGAGAGACCCCTCTGGGTGGCTGCGCTGACCATGTCCGCGTCTCTTCTGCACGTATCGCGTCTCTGTACCTCGTGCGTGAGGTGACAACGTTACTGAGACAACCAGAGCGGCACGCGGCACCACCGAGAGGGTTCCACCGACAGTTATCAGTAT